TGCGTAGCACATGTCCCAGCCAACGTAATCTATGGAGGTCGATCACTTGCCCTTTTTTCCACTCGGTATCTGCTTCTGCGAACATCGCTCGCCGTGGTAACCTACCTGGTGACATGCGTAGTCATGTCCCAGCCAACGTAATCTATGGAGGTCGATTACTTGCTCCAGTGGGCGACCGTATACCCAAAACTCTGCCCCAACCTCAGCATTGCTCATCCGGCTACCCCACCAGATTCGTGCAATGCTGCGTAGACAGCGGTGAATAGTAAGACAAACCCAGTGCACGGAAAAATAATGTGCAGTAAAATACGGTCGACAGTGAATACGACAGCAGATTATGGAAAATGGGTAAAGACGTTGACACTTCCAGGTGCAGTCGACGACCTTCGTAGATGACCACGACCATACACAGTAATAAGACCGCAGCGTGAGACGAGCAACACAACCAGTATGTACAAATGTACAAGCGGTAGTGCTAATATACTTACAAATCCAAGTAGTACGATCGCAAATCAAACATGATTACGGAGCTGCACGGATCAGTTAAGAGGTAAAAATGCAATATATTTCGAGAGCACAAAAAGAGAAAAGCCTGGTACACTAATAGGTGAAAAACAAACTGAATGGTTACAGGGATCTACCGCACTTCGTTAATCCGACAACTCGAGCTCTAACAGAAGGTAACAAACATCCGGAAAAGCTAACTCACTCAATTCATTAGCATTCGGTGAGTATCTACTTTTTACCCGGGGTGAGAAACTGAGAGCCGAAAATCAGATAAGTTCAGATAAGTACAACCACAAAATGGTTACAAAATTTGTCCATCCGGCGAGCTTTCACTGCATCATGTGACTCAAAATCATCACCGCTCCTTCGTCACGTTTACTACCACTGGATGAGGAGGGAATTTAAAAGGAATTTTCGGCACTGATGATAAAGGAGATACAGTTTATGCATGCGAAGAATTTCGAACAGGACGCCTGGGGAAGCGTGAAATTTCACACGGTAAACAGATCTAATTAGTATTCATTGGCTGCGAACATATAATGATCACCGTAGCTGTGGTGTGATGCGATTCACTGAGTAACGATTGAGGCCTACTTCCAATCACTTTCTCGGCAATCTTTAAGGTCGATATACGAAAGAAGCAACTGCTTGGAAAATGGCTAGGCTCTGTGCATCTTAAAGGTCGAAGTAAAAGTGAGTTAAGTAGGAAACTGAACAATGGGCAAACTTCATCGCTGTTAATAGGCGCAAGTGTAGCGCTCCAAGAGGTGCAAAATTTCAATGAACTATGATGAGAATTCCGTTCAACATCATCATCATTATTGTTGAACAGCATAATACAGTGACGCGAACTTTCCCGATCGCTGCCATACTCATAATGCACACAAGGTAAGTCAGAATGTGTAAGGAGGACAGGGATTCGGGCCTATTTTTAGGAGCAAACTTCTATGGTCAACACATATAGTGCACAGTTCAACTGTGCATACATATTATTTCAAGCATTCTGGTTCGATAAGAAATGACAACGAGAACGCAACCACTGTCGGTTTACCGCCATGTCCTTCAACGACTCGAAACATTCAGATAGGAATCTTTTGGACCCCGACCCGAAAGACGATAGATACCTACTCTACCTAATCGCTCTGTGCACTTCTTCATGCCTCGTCTCCACCTCATCTGCTGGCTTCCACGTGGATTTCTCCAGTCTGCAACGGTTACTGCAATTCAGGCGCGGTGGTAGGCGACCGTCGGACATACGCAAACTGTGGCCTAAGCAACGAAGCCTATTGAGCAGAATTCGATGCGCTCGATGCATACCAAAGCACCCCGCCACATACGACGGTGGCCAAGTGGTTAGATCGCCAACTGGTGACCTGGGTGTCCCGGATTCAAACCGTTCAACCGCCACCCGTCTTCAATATATCCGCATTTTCCCAGGCAGCCTATGTAGGGCCGCAGCCCCTTTCCTGAAAGTTGACTGTACATTTGTATACTCAATAGATAGAAAAAGGAAGTAAAAGACATTAACTAACCCCTCCACTTCATCCCAAGTAAGCCAGACTACGAGGCATCGATTATCGAGAACTGATAAACGACGAATGCTCTCTACCTAAATTCAAGGTCTCACGGAAGTAAAACAGAACTGATCGTACAATGGCGCCGTATACGCGACCTTTCAACTTCAGTGAAACATCACGTCATCTTCACAGGTGTTTAAGTCCTGCGTACGCAGCTCGAGCCTTGGAAATGCGCGCGATTATCTTCTTTGATGGGCTACCGTCGTTAGTCACGCAGCAACCCAAGTACGAGAAGCAGTCAACCTCAGATAATTCCTGACCGTCTAGTTTCATAACGGAACTCGGCGACAGTAATTCTTGCAGCATCACCTTGCACTTAGAAGGTGCAAAGCGCGTGCCGAACGGAGCGAACTTGCTAATCTGCCAAATGCTCTTTGTACATCTTCCGTACATTCGAATGGATAAACAACGTCATCAGCGTACTCTAGATTGGACAGCTTTCCTCAAGTTGCCCATTCTTAAAAATGGGATCAATCAGCGATTCGCTCCAGGATGACGGAATGCGCTCGTGCGACCAGATGTTACGCATTAAAACAGTGATGGAGTCTACGAAAAGAGTAGGAGGAAGCCCGTCCGGTCCTGCTGTTTTCCCTTCTTCAAGGCTTGGATGCAAGATCGTACTCCTACTTCAGTTAGAGGTCCAAATGAAACTGCTCACGGAGCCTCAGTTACAACAGGCATCATCACCATCATGCAGAGAAATACAGTGAAGCGAACTTCACTGATCGTTACAATAGACGATATAATCTGGTCAGCACCTGGCCAGTTGAACTTTTCGTTGAAGTACTCCCTCCACCGGTCAAGCAGTTGTTCCTTATTGTGAATAGCTTGTCCACTTTCCCTAACCGTGTTGCGTATCAGTTGGAACTGTCTTTGACTAGTCCGCGATGCAGCTGCTACTTCCATTTCACTCGCTGTTGTTGCACACCGGTTCTCATGGTCTTTCTTGAGGCTCTTCGTGAGCTGACGAGACCATCATAATACGCCTCATACGCTTACTTGGAATCAATTCCGATAACTACGAGCCATGCACTTCCGGTTGCTATCCTCGGATCGACCAACAAAAGAATATATCAAAGTAAAATTCGACAGCAATTTCAGAATAAATGCAAACAAGACGATACATTGAAAAGGGGGTTTAAACGATCGAGAGCATCAACGGTTTGGTGGAAGCAGGTGATCTAATCCCAGTAAGCCTTTACTGANCCCTGTCCGTTATATCAATAGACAAACGAAGACGCTTGCCCAAGCGCTGCGCTTGGCCGCCATGGAAGATGGGATCGGGTAGATTTACAACTCGACCGCCAACGCGAACACTTAGGCATCGTGGAAGGGCTTCTTGCACCAGTGCCCGATACTGACGACGTCTGTCCGGATGCATGGGAGGTATGTAGAAATCAGAGGTCGCCCAGCCCAGCCGAAGAACAACACGCCATTCAGGACCAGGAAGAGCTCTGATAGAAATTTAGAAGTCAGAAAAGAGGACAAAACATGACGATAACACATGCAATAGTCTAGCGTAGCTAAGAGGTGCGAAGAGATCTTAAAGAGAATATGCCCCAACAACAAGATAATATGGTGTGATCCATCTTGCTAGCGTCTATTTCATGTCCCAGATCGGAAAAGGTACGTTCCGAAATAATGATTCTGCAAGTTATTTCTTAGCCCCAGAATGATGGACCACGCACAATGGGCGTGGTGCTGCACCGAAACAGAACAGAGCCACGGCGGTGGTTGAGCGCTAAGTCACTAAATTATCGCCCGGAGGATGTGTTTGAATCCCACTAACATCCCCTCACTTCCCATTATTCATGTGCATTGCATGAGTTCTCTGATTGGCCACTTTCTCCCTCTGAAAATCGCTTGATTATATATTCAATAAAAGTTAAGTAAAAAAACTGGCTAACATCTCAGTAGGATGACCACAGCGAAAGGATTCACTAGAGTACCAAAACGTAGAGTGACAATTTACTAACAGTTCGGCCGTTTTCAATGAACATGGTAGAACGGCGGATTATGACTGATCATGAGAAAATGAACTAGACCGTCCTTATTCAAACAAGCTCTTGATTTCAATCGCCGGAGTTCATTCAACCTGATACTAATCAGTAGTCTAAAATTACACTTCCGAATTTTCATGCATTTTTATACAGGATGAACATCGCGTAGATGAATTACTTGGTTCGTTTACAACGGAATAGCCAGAACAGCCAAGGAGACCGCATGAAATGCAGACATGCGACAGAAGTTACTCGTGAGTAGTTATTTTCTCGAAGGGGAAAATGGATGGAAAGAGCGACAGTACCGGATGGCTGTCTCCTTACCAATAAGGTCCTGAGATAGATGTCAGCAAAATCATGCGGCAATGCTCCGTCAAGGCAAAATTATGAAAAGAGAACCTTAAAGTATGATTCAAAGGCCACATGGACAATTAAGCAAAACGAGTCAAGAAGAGGTCCCGTATCTACTTCGACTTGTTGATGATGCTCCAGTCTTTACTCGTCGTTTTTAGGCTTCTTTCTTTCCTTTTGGTTTTTAGGCTTCTCTTATAGCTTTATCCTTGGAATCAATTATTCTGCTCGGTAACACCAAGGTGTATCCTAAGAAATAGTGTTCGTGTGAGGAATACTGCTGTTCAGTGTTAAAAAAAACGACATTTTAGATGAAAGATGTTAGTCTAACGCGATCGATTGAAAATAACTGACTCTGATTCAAAAAAGAAACAAACAAAGAACGTGATTGAGAATTGAAAGTTCTCGAAGAGAGACTTCCAGCACTGCCGCAAAACACGGTGAGGTCGGAATTCGATTAGCTTGCGCATCCAAATACAATTTCCTCGAGCCACATCCGGCTTGTTTTAACTTAAGCTTTCGAAGCCTGACCACGTATCTGTGCTGCGTGAAACCTGGGAATGTTGAACCACTGGTATCTTTGATATATTGAGTAGGCGGAATTGAACATTCGAAACTACAACGATGAAGTTTGACAATGATCCCATGAAATCAAAAAGCTTTTGTCTATGCAACGCCGACACTTGCCTATGGTTTGAGCACACTACAACAACCTTGGGATCCAGTATATTATCCCCAAGCGAGGGCTAGTCGCATATAATGTAGAAAATGCGTCACCTAGAGATTACAAAACACCACTGATTATAAACTGGATGGTCCACTGCGTATAATATATCGGTCGAATCAACTGGCTTCTGGAGCTGCCTGATTCTCAAACGCCACTGTGCATAATTTGATCAATCAGTATTCAATTCCTCATCATTCATTTTTTTCAATTGCAATGGTGCTATTTCGAAAACCCGTTAGCTGAGTGCTGTGTGATCACTCAATTGATACTGGTGACAAGTCGCAGGCTTGAGTATGTGCTGAGTAATAGTGGCATTTTTACCGTACAACCAATGCATTTCACAAAAAATTGCGGTTCTATATGGGGATATTGATATTCTTCAGCAAGGTGGTAGGTGGCTCTGCCGTGGCCCGGCTCACTACCAGGCCTAATCTAACGAAGCCTTATGTAGTCCGCCACTCCAAATTTCAGAATCATGGTTGCCGATTTCCCTCTCACAATATTCATATAACAGTACGAAATTACGAAGGCTCTCTCTCATCATCCTCCGCAGCATTCGCGGACTGAACAGCAATATTGATTTTGTACACCAATTTCTTCATTCTTCTTCTCCGCTCATCTTTTTTTTGACCGAACATACAATTCTCCCCCCTCACAAGACACCACCTACCTTCTAGTACTCAATTACAATTTCCACTTCTTCTTTCTACTCAAAGCTGGTGTCCGCGCCTTTATTCATCGGTCAGTCACCGCCTCCAGGATCCCAAAACTTGACTTTTCCGATCATGAATTTTAGCTGAATATGGCTGAGGCTCCGAATTCCTTCCTTTAATCAGTACTTTTTTGTTCTATATCGTTCCCCTAATAGTGGCGACTACTTCGTGTTTTATTTATTTATTGTTTTATTGTATCATTGTATTATAGATAACTTGTGCAGGCAACTGTGCTTACATTTCAGTCAAAAAATGTGTTCACCGTTACAATGGGATAAAAATAGAATAAAAATCCATATACACAGGTTTAAAATTAGTTCGTTACGGATCCTCACCGTATCAGTGAGTATTCGAGCCGGATAGGGGACCGTTGAGTAGCGATAAATGTTTATGCGAGGGTAAGCAGCGAAAATTGGACCGGGTTGCAGCGTGGGAACGGCAAGCAAATAAATCGGGATTGATCGCATGACTGGGGTCATCAAGTATTTTATGAGCGAAATTCGCACAAGAAGTGATGTGCAAATTACACAAATTTGTGATCAGTGTTTAAAGGAATAAGACAGACACGGCTGATAATTACTAAACCGCGAGGTAGAGTAATGAAATCCTTTCTAAGTACTCCAGGGAAAATAACGGACGAACAATAAAGTATGACAGGAAAAATGCATTGATAAACAAAGGAACATACAGACTCATGCCGCACTCGAAATTGCGTATTTGAACAGACACTGAACATTGAACACTTGTTCGCAGCCGACCACAGCAGCTATTTTACCATCTTGGGAAATCTAAACGTTCATAATCAGGACTGATTGACGCATTCATCTGCTACTTCTTTGGGATGCGAAGCCGAACATTTCGCTTTGATCAACAACCTCAGTCAACTAGTTGCTCTTCCCACACGTGCCCCTGATCCAGTTCTCACTTCGATCCCTTCTTTCTTCACAGATACTTGCACATTCCCTCCTCCTGGCTCGTCGGATTACCGTATTGTTCTTGCTCCGCCAGGTTTACCAGCCCTGATCCGCCACTCACCTCGAGACACACATTTCAGCGCTAAAACTCAGCCAACGGGGCCGATTTCCGTGACTTCCTAGCTTCTTATCCCTGGAACGGTTGTTGTATTTCTTCGGATGTTTCCAACTTCGCCGACGTTGTTCATCAAGATATGGATCTTTTTATTTCGCACTCTTCCACTCCATCTCAGCCGTTTCCTGCGAATGCTGATGTCCCCCAAGGTTCAGCACTTGCGCCCACCCTCTTCCCTCTATATAACAATGATCTCAATTCTAAAACTTTCAACCCGATCCATTCTTTGGCCGAAGACGCCACTCTCCACTGCTCTCTCTCCTACCGCATTACTCGCCATGCTAAAACAATATCGATGGTGACCGTGGTGCAGTTAATGTGTCACTGAACTCTGATCTTGAAGTAATTTTGTCCTGGGGCATTGCAAACAACGTTTCACTCAATGGTCCTAAAACCTCTATTCTTTCAATTTCTCTAAAACACCATTCATTCTACCTCCCCCCGCCAGTTATCTTTTCATTCCACTCAGCTACGTTCCACAGACTCTGATTCCCCTCTCGAACTGCCTATAACGTCTACTTTATGCTGGTCTCCTTTTACAGCTCAGGTTGCTTCTCGTGAAGCGCGAAAGGTCGGATTTCTATTTCGCGCCAGACGTTTTTCACCCCAGCGCATCTTCTTGAACTGTACAAAGCCTAAATTCTTCTTGCTATTGAATACTGTAGTCACGCGTGGGGTGGGGCTTGGTTTTCTTTTTCTCTTCTTAATGGTCTTCAACGAAAGGCCATCCGGCTAATTGATGATTCTTTTCTAGCAATCAGTTTGCAGTTACTAGCCCATCGTCGGGCAGTTGCTTCATGGTCCCTGCTGTATCATTGGTTTTTGTCCTCCGGAACTTGCCTCGGCAGTTTCTCTTCCTGCAACTTTCACCCGCTCATCCCGTATACAGGTATCTAGTCATCCTTATCAGATTTTGTACTTCTCTGCTTCTTTTTCCCCGAACTGTTGAGCTATGAAACACCCTCCCATTTTCCGTCTTTCCCCAAACAGGACAACCCTTTATTCTTTAAAAGCAGGATCAATAAACTGAATCTTACGTGAATGTTCCCCTACTCTCCATTGACCAGTATGCTTTTTGTTTATGGTGATTTCTCCGTTTCCTGTAACTCATTATGTGCGATAAAAAGGTCGCACGTGGGCGGAAACAGTGAAACCAATCGGAGAACACCGGTTGAGCCGCAAAATACCTATTTGTAAGCTATTAGGACTTTGGGTAACGATCAGGATAAAAAACACGTTGTTAACCACCATTATAAACTACTGACCTCAGGCTCCGAATCGTCGGTTTTGGATACCAATCTAGCGAAACTACGTGCTCCACGTGATGTAATCTGTTTCGTGGGCGCAAAACATTACCTTTGTTACGAGGGCTAGACAGATATGCACTCCTAACGACACACGAAAGGAACAGCAGACGGCGTGAATCCACCTGCTGTTTGGAGATGGAAACCAGGTAACCCAGGCAGCGGGAGTGGCGAATCATATAAGACCTCGATTGTTTATGCGTAGTATTGGACCGGACAGCCAAGAGGCCTACAACCACTGTCAATCATTCAAGGACTATACATTTGCTGGTTCATTTGAGTTCACCGGATGCTCACAAATTTAAAGTTTTATGGCGTGAGTTCGGAATGTAATAAACAAGGAATTCAGGCCAGGTATTTTGGAACTTCAAAACTAGCAATGAAAAGGATCGATCAGTTCAAAAGAGAAAGTGATTACCAACGACGACCAGGGAGCGCGAGAGGACGCAAAGGTAATGCAAGGGGTTTAAGGAACCAGGAATAGAACTCTCAAATCTAAGCCGTTCTATTTAGCAGCTACGAGTTATGACCCATCATTCGATCCAGCCTCCATCAGCAACATCTCGCCGATTCGATGAGCGAACCTTACGATCAAGGAGGCGCATTTCTGTCCCTCTATGACTGAACTTCAGTTACCGAGGTGTGTGTGCGTGTGTGTGAAATAGCAATGGGGTTGATTCGGTGAATGAGTATTTTCGTTGATCACACATGATCCTCCAGTGTTTCAAATATATCTGAAACTAAGACAAAGGATATGGTGAACGCAACAATGCAGCATGGTGGATGTTTAGTCTTGACAAAATATTGAAAATCGGTTCTCATAGCTCGGGTGAACTGAATTCCATTTCGCCTGTTCGCCGAGTTTGGCAACTTGTTCACAAACGTTTCATCACCAGCCGAGGTGACATCAGCAGTGCTTGTGAAGTGGCCACTTCACGAGTTTGAAGCTTGTGGCAGTACAAAGACAGTCCTCATGGTCGTCTCGATCCCTCTATCTTAATTTAACTGACCAGTTCGGTGATCGACTTGTGAGGAAAACGGGATAAAAAACACGGCAACGGAAACCTTTTGAGGAAGTTTCATTTGTTGCAACCATTAGCCATGCACTTTACTGCACCGGTTTTGGTTGCTGTCTTCTGGTTGCCCATTTGGATAAAAGAGCAGGATTAAGACTCGAATGTTGAGAACAAATTTGGGGGAATATTGGAATTGTGTGAGTAGAGTCAAACAGACGAAGGAGAATTCATATAGACTGCAGTTGCAAGAATTAGTAGATGCAAGAGCGCCGCTAAATGCGACACCCAGGCACATCACTCAGCGTCTCTAACCACTGGTTACCATGATCTCGGAATCCCGATCCAAGGAGCCGAACGGCACCTATGTGACCCGGTGTCCCGGTTGTTTTTCATACCGCCATGTCAGATCTTATTTTGATCTGGGAGTTGAAGATGGATTTGAAGGAGGAAAATAGCCATGTACCATAAGACTATCAGACTCTTCGCAGACGGTATGGCTCGACAGATAAATTCCGTAAAACCCTCAAACCTTGGAAACGATTTTTAACGAACAGTGTACGAATAAACAAATACACGGGGATTCTGGAAATTTTTTTGTATTCGTGAAATGAAGGCAATTAGTGATAATCAACCTAAATTCAAAAAGTGGCACGCATGCAACCCCGTCTGCTGTATTTCACAGTGAACGAAAAGGCACGGATTGTTCAGTTAAAACACATCAACTATGAACACTAACCAGCACTGTCGAAGGCTGTTGAAAGGTTTTCCCGATATGGGGCAGCGAAGATCTTAACCACGAAACAAGTTGAGTTTTTGCCACCGGGTACGTGGAGAAAATGCAACAGAAGGAGCAACGTCATGGCCTCGATGAGAGAAATATAAGCAGGGGAGCAACTGGAAGGACAGCAACATGACATACGATCAAGCTGTGTCCGAGCGACGACAGAATATCGTAACCGGGTATACTCGCTTCATTATTAGAGATCGATTGAGCAAGGTCAGATGAACCGACAGACAAAACAACACACAAAATGCCTACTTCAGTGGGGCCAGTGTTAACTGAACGAAGGCTTTAGATGCAAATCACATGATCAGCAGACGATCAATAGATCAATCGATCGATGAATCGGTCGATAGCTTTGGCACGGATAGACGCGGGAGTCTTGACCAATGACCTTCAAGTGGCGCCTGTCTGTCCACGAATGCAGGATGACAGGCAGGACACGCGAAGAACGCAGACCTGTCTGTACCGAGAGATGAACGCAAGAACGCGCTTACATGTGTTGTGGGACAGACACACGAGAGGCGTATGTGCATTAATAAATATCCGTGTGTATGTCATTTTGCGTGGGTGCGGACGTGGTTGTATACAATGACTGCAGATCGATGAATAAGGCGTTTCGCTGTGGGGCGAGCGCCCAGTTGTGGTGAATCAACAATGATAGTCTCGTATCAAACGGATTGGTCGAAACAAAAAAGTGAACACTGAGTCGTTGTAAAAGCGGACGAATGAGTGAGCCGCCCGCGCGAAACTCCAGGGATCGACATGCAGTGTCACAGAAGTGACGCATACCAAGATGAGCAAATAAAAGACCGAAAGCTATGGATTTAGGTGATGGATGATGGAATGAATGGCAAGCTCACCGTCAGACGGTGGTCGCCCATTTACCAATCGGAGATCGTGTGTTTGAACCTCACCTCCCCCACCTAACGGCCTTCGTCATTGTATTACGCTGCAATCTTTTCATTAATCATTTCCCTCTTCCTGAATATTGTTTGTAAAATCATCTGTTCAATAAAAACAAATAATTTCCAAAATAATAAGTTCGAAATTGCTGTTTAGTAATTCTTGCATTGTTGGTTCATATGTTTCCGGCACACGCACTTTAACACGCCTTTCGTGCTTTTAAAAAAATTGGGAACTCACAATTACAAACCACTGACCAACAAACTTTACATTACACAATTCACACCAGTGAGGTTAGACTGTGTGCCAAAAAAATCATGGTACAATATACTTTATGGAAACAAACAAAATGGGTCAAACAAACTTCGCAGATTTCATTCATTTAAATCAAATCTAAACTTCACGTGCTACATTAACTAAAAACTATAGGAAAATATCAACACCTGGAACAGCAATGGTGATTAGTTTGTTCGGCACTAAACCGTGGAAATCACACCGTACTCGCCAATTTTGATGACACAAGAAAGGGCACTAGGATAAGTGCATGGCAAGATCATCCTTAATGAATTGCATTCCATGACTTTGTTGCAGGGAAGCCAACACAGCCTATAAGACCGAGAAAATTGGCCAGAGTGTTCACACATCCATGTCAGGTTTTACTTCAATCACCTTTTCGGCTCTTCCACCCATTAACTCGGAAAGAATCACATGTCCAATAAGCTTATAAAAGGACATGCATAACTCATCCCAGTTAACCTTATCTAAAATAGTATTCCGTTTTTATTTATTGAGAATACGAAATGCGCAGTCAACTTTTAGGGAGGGGGCGCCGTTATACAAATGGTGCCTGTAGAAAACATCCACTTGCATTAATGTGTGACTACCATCATCTAAAAGTCTGCTCCTAACTTTAGGATTGCTTTTCAGGCCAAACCCATCAGACTCGTGTACTG